ACTGATGATAAATACTTAACAACTAATGCAGAAAAAAAAGTTCACTTTAATTTTGGGAAAGTCTTATTGAAAGGATATATTCAATTTGTAACATATTTGGACATTTAAAAGCTGTATTAACTATGCTTAAACCATTAAGAATATTACTCATTTTCATCTAAGGCATAGGTCAGGGAACAGGGATAAATTAACCCAATTGTGGTAAAAGTGAAAATCCTTGGGGGTAATGAGCAGAGTGCTACCCCCTCCCTCTCCCACCCTCTGCAGCGAAACATCAAATTGTAAGCCACCTCTCCCTGTTACTTCCTTGGCTGCAGCAGGCACTTGTAAATCCACTTGTAAATGCTGTCACCCTCTGCAGTGATCATGGAGCTCAAGAAAGTAAAATCTGTCACTGCCTCCATATCTGCCCCTTCTGTTTGCCAGGAGGTGATGGGACCAGTGGCCAGGATCTTAGTTGTTTTGATGTTGAGCTTCAGACCGTTTTTTGCACTCTCCTCTTTCACCCTCATTAAGAGGTTCTTTAATTCCTCCTCACTCTCTGCCATGCTTTTGTGTAGTCAATGAAGTAGTAGCAGATCTTTTTCTGGAACTCTCTGGCTTTCTCCATAATCCAGCACATGTTAGCAATTTGGTCTCTAGTTTCTCTGCCCCTTCAAAATCCAGCTTGTACTTGTGGGAGTTCTCAGTCTACATACTGCTGAAGCCCAACTTGTAGGATTTTGAGCATAACCTTGCTAGAGGGTGAAATGAGTGCAATTGTTCGGTAGTTGAAGCATTCTTTGGCACTGCCCTTCTTTGGGATCGGGATGTAGACTGATCTTTTCCAGTCCTCTGGCCACTGCTGAGTTTTCCACTGATGATGATAAAAAAGCTCACTGGTCCTTTGATATTGGGCTGTGGCACCAGGGGGGTGGTGACATGGCCTTTAGCCTGGTATGTTCCTTTTTGCACACCACACATAGAATGATTAAAGTAGTAGGGAAAGCCCCCGCCCCAATTTTGCAATTGCTGTCCCTAGCAAGGATGTCATTGCTAGCACCACTCTGGTAGCCACTGATGATTATTAAATCCTCTGCGAGCTAGCATAAATTTAATGTAACTTGCTAGGCACGTTGGACACCTTACTACTCCTTATACCACACCATGGCTGGAGTGCAATGTGTTCCAGCAAAAATAGTGCACATCTTTATCAAATTTGGTGCATTCTGCTAGTTCGGTACACAGACTGTGTAGATTCAATAATATTTTTAATTCAAATAATGTATGATTTCCTTCCTTTTGAATCAAGGGGGTAATGTTGGAGTATATAAATGTTTTGGGGGGTAAAAGGTAAAAAAGTTCCCTGACCCCTGATCTAAGGTATAGATTCACAGAATACTTTTGTTGAAAGGACTTATAAGGTCATCAAGTCCAACCCTCTACCCAGTTCAGCAATCCAAATCAAAGCAGTTCTGACAGGTGGTTGTCCAATTTTATCTTGAATTCCTCCAGTGATGTAGCACCCACCGTTTCCTTAAGTAATTGGATCCACTGTCATACTGCTCAATTAGAGAGCTTTTCCTAATATTCAGTTAAAATCTGGATTCCTGAGCTCATTATTATGTGTCTTTGGAATGATTGAGAAGAGATCCTGCCCCTCCTCTATATGACAATATTTCAAGCATTTGAAAAATGCTATCATATCTCCCCTGAATCCTAATTTCTCAAGGCAGATAATGCCTGGTTCTTCCAGTTTTTCCTCATAGTCTCCAGATCATTCTTGTTGCCCTCCTCTGAACTTGTTCCAGGCTTTCAGCATCCTTTTAAAGTACGGTGTCCAGAACTTGATACATACCCTAGATGAGACCTAACCAGTGCTGAATAGAGGGAACTTTGGAACTCCTTCCCACAGCAGACCAGACTGGCCCTATCTTTGCTATCTTTCCACAAGCAGGCAAAGACCTTTCTCTTCAGGCAAGCCTTCTGTCAGTAACCAGTTATCTTTGTGTGATTTTTAGATAGATTGTTATTATTCATTACTGCTTTGACTGGATTGTTAGTACTACTTGTGTTTTCCTCTCAGAGTGACATTTTTAAAAATTTTGTATACTTATTGATCTTTGCCTTAATATTGCCTGTTAATGGTGTTCATAATTTTCAAGTATCTCTTTTTAATTATGTTAACCACTGTTATATCCTCACTGTTTTCAACTTTAAATATTGTCTTTCATTGTTGTAAGCCGCCTTTGGTCCTTTTCAAGGAGAAAGGTAGGGTAAAAATAGAAGCTGAATAAGAGCCAGTAGCCAGCAGTGTGATGTGAGCAAAAAAGGCAAATGTTATTTTAGGCTGGAAAAGTATAGGATCGATCGATCGATCGATCGATCGATCCTATACTTTTCCAGCCTAAAATAACATTTGCCTTTTTTGCTCACATCACACTGCTGGCTACTGGCTCTTATTCAGCTTTTGATGTACAACAGTTACAGGATTCTTCTCACTTGTAGTATTAGTGAACCAAGTACCCCCATCTTGTAACATTGGGTGCACATGCAGAATTATTGCTTTATAATCTGCTCCAGAATTTTCCCTGTTATTGATGTCAGGCTGATTTGTAGTTACCTGGTTCCTCCTTTCTTGCCATTTTTGAAGATAGGGACAATGTTAGCCCTCCTCCAATCGTCTGACATTTCACCCATCCTCCATAATTTAAAGAAAATAATACAGTAGTTCTGAGATCTCTCCAGCCAGTTCTTTCAATATTTTCGGATGCCGTTCATCCAGCCATGGGGAACTCATTCAAAGTAATAAGGTATTCATTGACTATAAAGTAAAACAATACTAGAACCCAGGGTTTTTCTGTAGCGGCACCCTCACTGTGGAATAAACCTCCACAAGAAATTAAGACAGCCCCCCTCCCTACAGATCTTCAAGCAATCAATAAAAACTGAAGTATTCAAGGAGGCCTTTGGCGACATCCTGGGTTAATTTTTGAGACTCATAATCTATTGCAGTTACTGATTATATTATTATATTGCTGGATATTTTGTTATTATGTTATGGTTTATATAATTTGGTTCACCTAAGCCACTAGGTGGCAATCCTTGGTCACCTTCCTGGTTTTGTTTCTGCTTTTCTGTGATATTCTCCATGCATTCTTAAATTATTTTAATTTGTATGGTTTGCTTAATTACATAAACCACCCCGAGTAGTAGTTCACTAAGTTGGGTGGTCTAGAAGTTTAATAAATAAATAAAATAAATAAATATTTGTTTATCAACCTCAAACTGCAATCTTGTGCCTTCCCTTTGTACTTCACATTTGCTTGGAGAGTCATAGCCTGTCTTTTGGGATACTGAGCTAAAGAAGGAACTGAGCACTTCTGCTTTTCTTTGTCATCTGTTATCATTTTTAAAAATCCCCATGGAGTAGCTGTGCCACTGTTTCTTTTCACTAACTTTTGCTATGCATGTACTTGAAGAGTCCTTTTTTTTTGGTTACTTTCAGCATCTCTTGCTAACTTCCACTCATTCTCCCCTTTTCCCCTCCTGATGCCATCCCCTGCAATTCTTTGCTACTTGCATGTACTCTTCCTTTGTTACCTGGCCTTCCTTCTACTTCCTATATGTGTCCTTTTTTGTTTTCAGGTCCTCTCTGAGCTTTTTGTGAAGCAACATTGGGCTTTCTCCCCCCCCCCCCCCCCCGGTCTTCCACCTTTTTATCTTGTTGGAATTGTTTGTAGTTGTGCCTTTAGATTTCTATTTTTAAGAAACTCCTACTCCTTTATCTGTTAGGATCTCCTGCCATGGGAAATCACCTATCATTTTTCTGAGTTTAATTCATATTGGCTTTTTAAAAATCTACCATATACATATGGCTACACTCCACTTCTGCTCCTTTCAAAATCAAGAACTCAAATATATCATGGTCACTTTCCCCCAGAGTTCCCCTTACTGCTGCTTCTTCCAGCTGTACGCTGTAATATGTAAAAAGAATTATTGGACAATAATTTCTCCTATTTATTCAAGAATGGAATAAAATCTGAGCAGACAAAAGAACAGGCATGGAAGTGAAATGAATAAGAAAGCCCTCACATATGGGAAAAGTGGACATAGCAGTCCTTGTGCTTATATGCAATTGGCAGATCAAGGAAATTAACTGCATTCCTCAGTTTCATTACAAATGAATTAATCTTGGTTAAATTAACAAAACTGCTGTATGTATAACATAGCTGAGTCTTGGTCTTTCTACTTACAGCCATTCTAATGACAGAAATTGAATTTATGTATATAGAGGAAGCTATGAAATTAGATCTTTGTTATAAACCAAGCTGTAGGGCAACACTCAAGCGAGTTTCCATTTCTGTGTGTCTGTGGCCAAGATCAATTTTCTACACTACTGTACGCCTTCTCACAAAAAATGAATAAAATGCCATTATATATTGGGAAAAACTAAGACAAACATAACCAAGGTGAGTTGAAGGAAAGTGTCAGTAAGTAAACACATGCACTGCAACACTGTGCTCAGGTAATTCTCTATTTCCAGATTTAAAATATATCTCAAATAAAACTAATCATGTTTAAAGAATGGAAATAAATAAGTTACATTGTTCTGTTATTATATTGGCTGTGGGAGATGAATAATATCAATTCAGTAGGTTTATTTAGTTCAAAAAAATAAAATTCTCACATGCTTACAAATTCAATCAGCTTCCTGAAAAATTGTGGCCCTAGAAAATGAAAGGAATGAACTAAAGCCACTTAGATGAACAACAAAGAATAATGATCAAAAAGCTACAGTACGTTGAATATAGTACCATGGTAAAAACAGAGGTCACTTGAAATATCCAGTTTTCTGCTGAAGATATCAAAATTACAAAGGCAGCCAATACAAGATGCATTGAGAGCAAACATTACTGAAACAGCAGTGAATAAAGATAAGATGGGCATGCCCTCCCAAAAGGGAGAATGTCTAACCTCCATCAATAATCCTTTGACATTAGAAACACCAAGGAACTTACACTTGTTGTATAAGCTGCTTCAGGGTCATCTTCTAATACTCGTGATAATCCAAAATCAGAGACTTTACACATGAGATTGCTGTTGACCAAAATATTACGAGCTGCCAAGTCTCGATGTACGTAGCCCATGTCTGAGAGATATTTCATGCCAGAAGCAATTCCACGTAGCATGCCAACAAGCTGGATGACTGTGAAGTGGCCATCATGCTTCTGCAAGAAAAGCAGAGTATCAGTTTCAAGAACACTTACATTTTCAGTGTTTGCTGGTTTAACTCAACTTTTTTCAACTGCCCTTGCAAAAATGCCTAATCCCTTCCTGCTCCACCACACCTTCTTAAACTGGCAGATAGGGGAAAGTTATCAGTTTTGGATTATAACTTCCACTGTGAGATTCTGCAAGTTGTAGACTTAAAAACATCATTTATTTTTTCTTTTTGTTAAGTGAAGCATATCACCCAATGGTGCAACCCATTATCACATTTGTAATGTTCACCACCACCACAGATCTTTTCCAGTTGTTCAGCTAATTCCTATCTTCTCTTTTGTTGCATTGACTATAAAACCTGGCTCTGACTACAACTGATCCATTGCCCTGTTGATGGAAATCTCCAAGCTGAAAACCAAATTATGTTCTTTAACATTCTTACAAGCCCAGTGGGAGCTGGTAATAATGGGAATAGTTTACAGCCCCATCATGAACTCAGAAGGGACTTATAGACAGGGATGTAGTCTTGACACAGTCCCAGGATGCACAGTTCTCGACTACTTAATGCATATGTATGCCCAGTTTCACAGAGACACCCAGGCTGATTCAGATGACCACTGAAGTTCATTTGCACTCTTTCTTTAGTGTAGCTTATTTAGCAGGAGTGGCACAGTTGTCTTCCTGAATTGTTTCCATGTGAGTGAGAAATTGTAAGCCAGTAGCTTGTGAAGAAAAGATTCACAGAAAGAAAAAAAAAATAAGGGTCTGCACTTTTTTATATAAACGTAGTGTATTTGATAACTTTAGCCAATGATTTATAGCTTCCTTCGGGGATATGGGTTAACGTATTGAAGAAACAAAGACAATGCTTTTATGAGAGTTCTGAGGATGGATAAAGCTAGGGAAAAGTTTGGGTTCAGGGGAAAAAAAGAAATTGAGAAAAACTCAAACAAATATATATATTCTGCTGTGGTAGAATAAGCTTAGATTTAGAGAGTAACTCAGCATGCAGACTGCATGGAAGTGCAAGAGTGATTCTTGAGCTATTATATTCTCCATCATTGCATGCATTATTTATAGATTTATTTAGAGTATTTTATACCACCCTTCAATCATCTCCACAGGGCAGTGTGTTCAACATATACTAAAAAAGAAATGCAAAAAAAGATAATAAGGTAATAAGTTATATGCCATAAAACATAAAAGCACCATAAAACTGATGGCAGGATTAGCACTGGATTTAAAAGCCCAGGAAAGTGAAAATGGAACCAGGAGGACCATAAGGAGGTTTCGGCTGAACCTCTTGACAGACTGTGTTCCACACTTGGTGTGCCACCACCAAGGCTGTCTCCCCTTCAGATGGTAGGGGCAATTTTCAGGAAAACCTTCTCTAAAGATCTTAATGTATTGGCAGGTACATAGGGAGACAGGTGGCTTTTCAAGTATCTTGTTCCTAAGGCTAAAACAGATAAACAGTCCTATAATCCCCTCAGTCACAGACCAGTGTTAAATGCTTTTGAGCCAGATACAGGATCAGCCCTCAGTATTTACAGCTTAACATCTAGCAACCATTATTGTCTTGATGTCTAAGACAATAATGTGATATACATTTAAACCCAATCATACGCCCTCCACAATAAATAGATAAATAAATCTATGGTAAATACATGAATGAAAAGACTGTGTGTTAAAGAAGAAGTTATCTCACCCTCAAGCCTATGACAACAATCTTTTAATTAAAGATCAATACTAAGGAAATTTGACCAAACTTTGGAAGGCAGTGGAAGACAGAAGGGCCTGGCGTCTTCAAGTCTATGGGGTCATGAAGAGTTGGACACGACTTAACAACTAAACAACAACAACAACAAGAATGCTAAAGAACAGATACACTGTTCATCAAAGTTCAATATTTAAAATGTCTCCATGGAAATAATGCTGGAAAGATAACCCAAAGAGGGAAAAGTTTGGTTTTATTGCCGAATATTATAAATTCATTTTCGGATGCAGAATTCATGAACTGCCATCAATAGATTTTAAAACTATAATAAATAAATAAATTACAAATTAAATTGAAATTTTCTAAAAGACTACCATTAGTAAGTTGCAAAACTTGTTTTCAATTTGTTTGAACATATGTCAGTTATTTATTAGGTGTGTTAGAAACTTTGTAGGGGTACATCCAGAGCATAAACTTTAGGAAATTCTCTCTCTCTCTCTCTCTCTGTGGATATACGTACTTGCCATGTGAAGAATGGAATTTTCTAACCCCAACGCTTTCTGGTTCACTCACCACCCTACATGTGGAAAGTAATGAATATGAAGAGGAAAAGCCCATAATGAGAGAATGTATATGCTCCACAAAAACCAGAGCCTCAACCCATGTGGCAAGCATTCAAGGATAACAAAACTCCCTCTCTTCAGACTCACTACAAGTGCAGTAGGGTGGTACAGACAATGATGGAAGGGCCAGGTCTCTCCCTTTGTGTGTGGTGTGGTGAGTGTACCCATATGTTTATCTCCTGAAATTAAACCAAGTTATCTAGTGGACATTTGCTTTTGGACAAACTGTGGGAAGAAATAGGCACCTGGGTCTGTCTCCCAGTGTGTCACAGCCAAACAATGTAACAGTGCCCTAGGAGGATAAGAGTTTTCACTAAACTTGTGGCATCTCTTTTCAAACATAATTTCTTCACTTCTCTTGGATGTAGGGGCAGGCCATGTTCCAAGACGGAGGCACACTTCATCCTGCAGTATCCATATACTCACTGTGGGATAACAACTTCAGGGTCTCTCATCTTCTTCTTTATGGCTACTCATATTTAATTCAGACTTAGGGTGTGATCACATAGAGTAATAGATCATAATTTGCACCACTTATGAAGGGGTACAGTGTGATCTATTTCCTGGAGATCATACGATGCAGAGATCAATATGCTCCAGTCTGACCCCAATCTATGCCCAAGCTGAACCTTATTGGTCCAACTGTAGGGGGAAAAAAGAACAAAGATATTGTGGCACTTTGGAGACTAACAGCTATATTTTAATGTGAGTTTCCATGGAAAAATGTCCACTTCTTCAGACATAAAAGTGAGAATATGGAGACTAAATGGCAAAATAGTCATGTAGGAGTCCAGGATAATGGGACAGTGGGTGTTTGGTTGCATTCCATATCTAGTAATGATTTAGGACCCTGTGTGGTATTCTTGCCCTACTCTCTGCCAAAGCATCCTTGATAGGTCTTTAAATGAAGGAGAGTCCACCACAAGGCAATCCATTCCACTGTCAAATAGGTCTTACTTCAAGGTTTAGGTGAAAGATGCCCTCCTTCAAGTAGAGAAACTTTAAAAAAGAGGATTGCCTCTCCCCTGGCAGCCTACGAGCAAGAGGAAAAATGCTACAAGATGGCAAACAACTGATTTGAGCAGGTGGCAATAGATGTCTCTGCTGGCTGGTCTTTTGCTTTTAAGTTTTTCAAATCATTTTAAATATTTTATTAACAATTACAAAAAAAAAGAATATTAAAAAAGAAATTACAGTATATTACTAACAAATTAACAACTTAAATCCATTTAGACAAAGCAATACAACAAAATGTGCTCTCCCCCACTGGGACCAATTTAATCATTATCAGCAGCAGCAGCTTAGAACTGCAGAGATGGAAGGGATCCTATGGACCATCGGTTTCAGCCCTTGTCAAGGAAGGAGAATGGAGAATCGAATTCTGTGGCTCTGTAGCCAGATATATAAACCACTCAGCTTTTTGGAGATATAACCAATCCAAAAAGTGGGTGGAACCAACCATTCTCTTTCAAGATAAGCAGGACTAGTCTTTTCAATTTCTATGAGCTATTTTAAATCTGGGTTTGTTTAGGATTGCTCATTTCTGCATGGGGTTGGTGGAGGGGGAAGATTCTTAAATTTAAAAATTCATAATTCAAAACCCTTCCCCCCAATTGTCCATAAATTTGACACAGAGCACGATCCAACTATCTGCTATATCTTTGTCAAGTTTAGTGCTGTTCCAAAGTCTAGCTTTAAAGTGATATGTTTTGTTCATGCTGCCACCATTTTTAGAATTGCCTTGTAGAATGTTGAATTGCTCTGCTCCAAAATAACAGAGATGCACTAGTGTGCAGCTATAATGAATACACATCATGATATACAGACATTCTCTGACTATTTTAACTCCTTTCCTGTTTTATTTATTTGTGTGTAGAGGGAATATACAATACTGCTTTTAGTGAGCATTTAAGTGACATTACACTGCTATCTAGGGCTTAGTTGTTGAGTCTTGGGGATTAGCAAAAGAAGTACGTTTGATGCAGTTCCTGGTTGGCTGCTGAGGGTGTTTACCAGCCTTGGCAACAATTCATAGTGCAATGGATTTATTCAGAGCACTGTTCCATCAAATTCTAAATAGTCTGTAATAGCTTTGCCAAACAAGCTATCCTTGACAGCCAAAGGTATATCTAATGCCTGGCTGGTTCCACATTTATGGTGCCCATCTGGTGCACATGAAAGAAACTGTTTTTATGTTCAGCATCCGATGACACTTGTAGAACCTGAATAAAGAAATATTCCAGTCCAGTTACAAAACACTGCATAAGGAATAATGCACAATAAATCAAACCTCTCTAGTAGACATTTTTCACTATGCAGGAGTTTTCTTTTTAAATGTCTCACAGAAGCCATCATTTAACAAAGAAGAGCAAAATCTGAATGAAAGTTGCAAGGTCTACTTCAGATTTTAATCACGGAAAACCATGAAAGCACAACATTCACATTTCCGCAGGCCAGAGATGGCATCTTTGAAGACAGAACAAAGGAAATGGGGGACCAACCCACTTGCGGAAAAATTCTTTCATTCATTCACTCAGTTTTTCCCAATAAAAAGAGAAAAAGATTAAAATTAGTATGAAAGAATTAAGAACTGTACTGTTTCATAGAGCAAATGGGACAATTTAAAAAAATATTATCCTTTATCCAGATCTACTTGTGGGTAGAA